TACGTACGACTTTGGAAACTCAACAATTCCCAGGTTCTGTTTGCCGGGAGAAATTTTCGCACAAGGTCCGGTACAATCACATTAAATGATCAATATGGTTTGGACATACACAAGATTGTGCCACAATTGTCCGGTAACTATAGTTGCGTATTGTCCACAGATCCACCCAGACAAATTGTTTATCATGTAGAGGTCTGCATTTGGAGGACTACGTTTTGTCTTAATATTAATATAGATAATAGTTCCGAAACGTTGATTAAGTATAGCTCAGTTGGTGTAAACCAATTACCGAGTTATATTTTGTTTATGATTAATATTGTACTTGCTGTTTATAAACTGCATGAAAACATAATGCAAGTTTGTTTTGTAATTTTTAAATTTACTAATTGAAATGAATAATTTACTTTGGTACATTTAGAAGAGTTATTATTTGTTGTATTTTTATTAATATGATAATTATACTATTATAAGATTATAAAAATTATATTATTCTTATAAAAATTAATCATAGTATTAAATATTATAAATTTACCATATATTAAAGTCAATAAATTTTAATTTAATGTAATATGGATTAAATATATATTTAATTACTGTAAATCAAGGTTGTCATACAAACTTGTGAACTAATTAAGTAATTTGTAAATAAATCACATTTATTAATACACCATTAAATAGGTTATAAAAATAAAATTAATATGTTTCAATATAGACAGGTTGTCTCTGCAAAAATATATACAAAAATGTACACCTATTTTGCCACTAATTATTACAATGAATTTTCACTTTCAATGACAACTATATATTGTTTTATTTGTCTAATAATAGATTCAAAACAAATCAGAAAATATTATTTCTGAATAAATTTCCTATTTTTATGGCTTTTTGATTGTTATATATTTGCCATTGTATTCATGGATTTTAATTATTATTATGAATTATATAAAAATATTTTTCTCAATAGTGTATTATCTATAACTTGTTATTTTTATTATGTATTGTATGCATCAAAATAAGTACACTATTGAAAGTGCATTAATGAATATCTGGGCACAAATCCAGATTGTTCTTTAATATTGTTAACTTGTTTGTAGCCTATTATACAACTATATGTACTATCTATTGTGTACTCATTGCATATAAACTAATGAAATAATTACTATGTATTTTATTATGTGTGAAACAGACTATGAATTATACTCTCGTCTTAACGAATCACCAAAAACTTAATTTACCATAAAATTCAATCATATTTCAATACATATATGACATATTATCATACAATTTGTTAACTAACATATCGTGTTTGTAATTGCATGGAAATTGTATGCAATTTATTTGTGTAGTATTTAATAAATACTATTTATATGCAATACAGATACAAATATGTAGAGCAAATTTACTGTTTTACATTAATGGGTTTACAGATACTTATGGCATATGAATATTATGTACACCTTATAATACAGTTATTAATATTATGAGTACAAGTATGGCAATCAATATATCAATGTTTTTTATTTTGAATTAAACATCTAATTTTATTTTATGTTTTGATTTTTTCTGTTTACAATTGTGAATTATATTATTGCATATTGCATTAATGTAAAAATATAATATTTTCTCAATAAATATATACAGTAAATATAACTCTTATGAGAAATATAATATACTATGTGATTTGGACTAATATATTTGCTCTATGTAAATTTTTATTGTAAATACATCATAACATTTACATACGGTTTTGCAAAACATCTAATGCAAATAAGTAGCTTATATTAAAGTTGTCACCTTATTAATTGTGTTTTTATGTTTATTAATAATATTGTTATGGGTAAAATAAATTGCCGGGTGTGCCCACAAAATTTACCCTAAAGTAATAGCAATTGTAATTATTATCCCAACTATTATACGGACATAATTGACATTTAATTAATAGTTTCACTATAACTGTCACGGAATTGCATAGATACCGTGAGGAAAGTTTTATGTACTACACATGTATTTCACAATATATAACAATATCTTAATATCTAGATATAAAGTTATAATTGAATGATGCTCTTATGTCATTGCGTTTACAATTACATATAACCTAAAACAATAATAATCAATATAAATCTACGTTAATTAACTAATTAATGTCTAGTGTGAAGTCTGCGGCAATATAAAAAATGTAACATGTTGTTTGTTACATCAAATATTAAACATCAATTAATATATTAAAAAAAATTACTTTAACTTTGGTGCGCCAACTTATCGCAACGAGTTTGTAATTAATTCAACAAGGCTACTTATTTATAACTGTGGAAGTTATGGGCGAAAACATTGAAATGAGTGCCAACGGCGGGCCAAATAAAGACCCGCATATAAGCCACGACTTGAAACACAAATACGAGTCAATGACGAAAAAAGCGCGGATCAAGACTAGCGTACGGCTGGCCATAGTAGTGATGTGCGCGGCGGCAATGATCTACCAGGTTATTGTACTTACAGCACAATACCTTAACGGTCAGACACTGGTCAATATTAAAATCGAACAGATCAAGTATAATAAAATACCCGCATTCACCGTATGCTACCCACGGCTACTGTCCTTTAAGCGTGTGGCTGAGGTATATCCCGATTCGTACGGTCAACTGTACGCTACTTACATGGACACCATGCGAAGTGTCGCCCAAGGTGATATTAGCTATCATGACAACAACGTGACCACGAACCTTAATGATTTGTACGAGGGCAATGTAACAGCGTTGATTAATAAAGAGCACCGACTGCGCGATTTGTTTGACCTGAGCATACCCTACTATTATGGGAACCGGAGTTCAAGTTTGTTCAACAAGGACAAATTAACCGAGTTTGCTATCGATATACACGTTAATGCGATAAGGTTATTTAATAATAATAAAACCCTTAATGTAATCGAGATCACCGATACTGAACCAATCGAGTCACTGGTGATGCCCGACGGCCGGCAGGGGTTCAAGTGTTTTACATTTTTCAGTCAAATGAAACCCAAATGGAGAGAATACCAGATTGGTATGTATTTTCATATTATTTAATACATTATTTTATTTATTAGTAAAACATAATTATGGTAAACTAATTATTTCAGTCACAATAATTTTTTAATGTAAAATAATGTAAAATACTATTTATGCAGATTTGAAAGAGATGAATATGAACATCTATCAGCACGAATCGTGGTTCCCACCTAGCTTGTACGAAGGTGGCGCGCACGTGCACCTGTCAATGCACTCGCCAAACATACTACCCCAGCAAATGTCACCCAACAATTTTGTGCGACTAAAAACGGGCAAATGGTACGAAATGACGTACAACCGGTGGAAAACCATACTATTACCACCTAGGTATGACACCAAATGTCGCGAGTATGACTTAAAAAGCACAAGGGCGGGTGACTATCAGCTCCGGGCCGATTGCGTTAATCAATGCGTTTACGACGGTTTGCTTAAGACTTGCGATGCAGACAAACTGTCACCTCTTAAGGGCCAACCTCTTGGTAATAGCGATAACACCGGTAGCGTCAACACCAGCACAGGTAAAATTGGCAAGGTGGGCAAAGGTCTCGGCAAACGGCAACAGCACAACGCAACCCTATGCCTGTACCGGTCGGATAGTCTATGGCGACAAGAGCTGGTGGCACCGGGCGCACCCCTGGCAGATGAGCGCATATGCGCCAAATACGAGGTTGGCACTATAAAATCAACATTGGCCGGGGCTGATAAACAAGCCTTTGAGCGTACGGTAGACCGGAGGGCGTGTTTCCGACAGCACGCCTCCCGAGTAAACGGCGAGTGCGAACTCAAGTGTCCGCAAGAGTGCAATAACAGGTATTATAACTATAACGTTAAGACCAGCGATAAGCTGCCCGGCCATTCGCCCTGGACTAAGCAGACACATGTCCGTATGGCACACAATCAGTTGCCCGATCAGATCACCGAGCACATACCCGAGATCAGTTTTGTTCAGTTTATCGGCACGTTTGGAGGGTTGGTGGGCATGTGGGTCGGTTTGTCAGCGTTTGCCGTATTGGATTTTGCCCTTGGTTATATATAATATCGCTAATCTGGTTGTTAATCACTATCTGTATGTATTTATAATTATTTATTTGATTTGTTTTTTAGTTTACTAGCTATAAAATTAAAACATGTATGTAATATCTGTATTATTAATAACATTAATTTACCAAACATAAATAAACCAGGAATTTGAGATCAATTATTATTTAAAACATGTTTTTTCATTTTCAATTGTAATTTATTTTTAACTATAAACTAAATTAAATATTTTATAATAGATGGTATTGTTTATAATATTTTATCTATTTAAAACAATGAACATATAATAATTAAACCAAAATATAGTAATACAGAATCTGGTTATTATATCTAATTAGATAACAATAATCACAAACACTTAACTACTATATAAAGTCTTAAATAATTATAATAAAAAGCACAATAGAAATAATTAACTCATATGAGTAAAGTTTTTTATGTGAGTTTTATATACAGTAGAGTATATACAAGATTAATTTTATACATTTATGAAATTATTATTTTTTATTAAATATTTTAAAATATTATTAAATTTTATAAATACCTCTAATCAATGGATTATTTGGAAGAGATTAATAAAAGTCTAAATAATTTAAACAAAGATAATATCCAATTAAAACAAAAGGTAACTCAAAGTGATCAAAATGTGGCTGAATTGCGGGCAGTGAATGCTGAACAGGACCGCCGTATTGAGCATTTGGAAGCACTAATTAGTGGTCAATTCAAACAAAGCAATGATGATAATCATAACAATGAGGTAATTACAAAGTTTTCATTCTTTAGATATTTGTATCTAAAAATAATAGTATCTAAATATTATATGAACATGTAAAATTAAGTGAGTAAACTTAAGTGTTCCAATTCATTAATTATAGTTAAATAGATAATTTATTAATTCAATTAAATAATCATTTATAAGCTTTTTAAAAACATGTATAATATACTATCAAACATACAATAAAGCAAGTACAATTACTAAAGATATATTGCGGCAAACTTTATTCAGTAGCAAAATGTATGGATTTTCAAAAATAACCAAGAATATTCTTTGATTATAACCAGATAATATATGTAAATTATGAAATTAATTTATTATGCACAAATATTGTTCAAAACCTTTTACAGTAAAATAATTTTATATCTAATTTTATTATTTGAATAGTTGAACTTATATACAGTAGATAACAAATCTAGTTGTAACAAGACATGTCTGCAGTAAATACATTTACATGTATTATCAATATAAATTTGAATGTATTAATTCTATTTTTCATATTAGAAATCTTATGAATTAACTTATGATTAGATATTATTTTACCAGTTAAACTTTGAAACTTGCATATTAATAACAGTACTAATTATTAAATAACCTTTGATATATTACCATAAATCTATAATTCTAAAATTAGATTTAAAAAATGTGTGAAAAAACAAAATAACAATTAAAAATTTTAAAATTACATGACACACAGTTAGCGATGGGGCTTATGGACAATAAACTTAAAATGGGTGCTATAAGTAATGAAAATAATGACCCGCATTTAAACCTCGGCTTCAAACAAAAGTACCAGCAAATGAACAAAAAGACCCGGATTAAGTTTTTCATACGAATGACCATAATAGTAATCTGTGCCATCGCTATGATTTACCAAGTAATTGATTATACGGCACAGTATATGAGCGGCCAAACACTGGTAAACATCCAGATCGAAGAGAGCAAGTACAACAAAATACCCTCAATTACCATATGCTATCCCCGGCTACTGTCAATGAAACGAGTTGCTGATGTATACCCTGTGAATTATAAGGAACAGTACAGCGCCTACTTAGATACTATGCAAAGTATCGCTGATGGTGATATTAGTTATGAAAACAGCACGATGGTCTCATACCTAAACGGTTTGTACGAGAACAATATAACAGGGTTGATTAATGATGGAAATCGTCTTCGAGATTTGTTTGACCTGAGCATACCTTATCATTATGGTGATAAGAATTCAAGCTTATTTAATAAAAATAAATTGACCGAGTTTGGCATTGATATACACGTGAAGGGCATCAGGCTCTTTTATAAAAATATGACCCTAAATGTGATTGAGGTCAAAGACACGGATCCCATTGAGTCCTTGGTATTACCTGACGGTCGCCAGGGGTCCAAATGTTTCACATTTTTTAGTCAAATGAAACCCAAGTGGAGGGAATACCAGATTGGTAAATTACATTTCTCACATGTCTAGTTTATTATAAATTTAAAATTATTAAAAAAATTATTTATACCAATTTACATCACCATGAAAAGATTTAAAAGTGATGCACATAAACATCTATCAGCACGAGTCGTGGTTTCCACCTAGCTTGTACGATGGGTCGGCCCACGTATATCTGTCAATGCACTCGCCAAACATAATGCCCCAGCAAATGAGCTCGAACAATTTCATCCGGCTACAAGCGGGCAAATGGTACGAAATGACGTACAACCGGTGGAAAACCATACTATTGCCGCCCGGGTATGACACCAAATGCCGCGACTATCGCCTAAGCAGCACCAAATCAGGCGATCAACTGCGGGCCGACTGCGTTAATCAATGCATTTACGACGGTCTGGTCAAGCATTGCGACCATGATAAACAAGCAGCCCAGCATGGTCAAGAGCCCCTATGCCTGTACCGATCGGATATTTTATGGCGCAAAGACCTGGTGGAATCTGGTGCACTTTTAGATAACAATCGCATATGCGCTAAATATGACCCTGGGACAGTAAACGCACACCTGGCCGATGAGCGCACGGTATATCGTAGGGTGTGTTTGCAGAGTCACGCGTTACGTGTGAACGGCGAGTGCGAACTCAAGTGTCCGCAAGAGTGCAATAATAGGTACTATAACTATAACGTTAAGACCAGCGATAAAATGGACGCACACTCGCCCTGGACTAAGCAGACACATGTCCGTATGGCACACAATCAGATGCCTCAACAAATCACCGAGCACATACCCGAGATCAGTTTTGTCCAGTATATAGGTACGGTGGGTGGGTTGATGGGCATGTGGGTAGGTTTGTCCGCGTTTGCCGTTTTGGATTTTGCACTAGGTTATATATAAATTATTTTATTGTTAAACACTTTGTTCCGTTTGAAATTATTTATGTTGTGTTTTTAGTTTGTTAACTATAAAATTTGTAGTATAAACTAAAGACTATGTATTGTAGTCTTAAGTCTATGTATTGTTATATCTATGTATTTTAATTATGCTTAAAGTACTTTTTTCTAATGTTTGTTATTATTAATAATACAGTAAATGATCAACACAAATAAACAAAAAATAATGTGATGAGAGGAATTGTTGTTCTGACAAGTTTTTAATATTTAAAAATTTATATTTTTAAATTATAAAGTTAACTTAATTTTTAAATCAAATTATATATGTTGTTATAAGTGTATGATTTCTGGGATTAATTTTTAATTTATTTAAGGTTTTAATTTTTACAAGGCTTTAATAATTTTAATATAGTATTTCTTATTTATAATTTAATCGAATTAATTATTTTAAAAAATTAGTGTTTATTTTTATTTTAAATTTTACAATGTTTTAATCATTTTAATCAAATGCTGTTTCATTCATATATCTATCTAAAATATTTAAATTATCCAAAGATATCATTTCACAGTAACTCGGAGATGATTGTTTTTTAATCTTTAGTTTATAAATTATAATTAATATTGCGGCTATTATAAGTATTAAAACAGTTAATAATAATATAGAAATAGTCGTGATGTTTATAATGTTGGACGTATTTTCTTTCATTTCATTCTTGATTAAAGTAATCTTTGTTGTAGGTGTCGGATGAATATGTGTGGCACTGGTAGACATAGTGGTAGAACGTGCGGTCGTTGGTGTCGGACGCATCAGCATTGTTGTTGGGCCGGTATGCATAGGTGTGAGACTGATAGGCATAGGGGTAGGACTTGTGGTCATAGGGGTCGGACGAACCAGCATAGGTGCGGAGGTGGTAGGCATAAATGTGGGACGTTTAGTCATAGGGGTCGGTTGGGTAGGCAATGGTATGGGACGGGTCGGCATCGGAGGTGGGTAGTTAAGCATAGGTGTAGGATTTGTGGAATAGGTTTGAAACGTGTATGGATATGGATAGGCATAGGTGTGTGAAGGGTATGAATAGGTGTGTGAAGGGTATGAATAGGTGTGTGAAGGGTATGAATAAGTGTAAGACGGGTAGGCATAAGTATATGACGGGTAGGAATAGGTGTACGGCGGGTAAACATAGGTGCTTGAAGGGTAGACATAAGTGAAACGGGTAGACATAGTAAGCATAGGTGTAGGAATAGTAGGCATATATACGAGACTGGTAGGCGTGGAACGTGTAAACGTAGATGTGGGATAATTAAGCATAGAAGTTGGATTATTATAAATATGTTTGGGTCGGGTAGGCTTAATTATCAAACGAGTTGTCATAGGTGTTGGGCTGGTTGTTGTTGAATAATAACCAATTGAGTGACCAGATGTTACATAGATTGATTGCTCTGTTGACTGTTTATAATGAATGTAATAATCATAAATGATAATCCAATAAATTATTTAATAAAATACATTTTTACCTTCTTTTCATATTCTTTATAATAAAAATCAAAATCGTCTTGAGCCAATACAACAGTTAATAAAAATATTAAATATTTCATTTTATATAAATATAAATGAATAAATACTATTTCAATGCATTAAGACATTTATTAAATATAAATTGAATGTTATAAAATAAAATTTAATAAAATGAATAATAATGAATGTGAATACTAATTTTAACATTAATGTTTACAATATAATAGTATAAACAGGATAAACATTTCATAAAGTTGAGAAAATGTTTTAATAATTAAGAATATCATAAAAATTGTTATTAAAACATTTAATGTTTAACTTAATAATATCTAGCTCATATATTTTACAAAATTCAGTGCTCAATAACTACCTTGCTCATTTGTATTCGTAACTTAAAACATGATTAAACCCTAAAATATGTACAAATCGGATGCAGCCGAGTCCGGCCGCCGGTGCCGCCCGTTCTTGTGATTACATATAATAATCATATTTTTGCATTTTTCGCAGTTTATATCATATTTAAACATAATTTGACCAAAATTATGTGCTCAATAACTACCCTGGTCATTTGTATTTGTAACTTAAAACATGATTAAACCCTAAAATATGTACAAATCGGGTGCAGCCGAGTCCGGCCGCCGGTGCCGCCCGTTCTTGTCATACCATATAATAATCATATTTTTTGCATTTATCGCAGTTTATATCATATATTAGACATAATTTGACCAAAACTATGTGCTCAATAACTACCCTAGTCATTTGTATTTGTAACTTATAACATGACTAAACCCTAAAATATGTACAAATCGGGTGCAGCCGAGTCCGGCCGCCGGTGCCGCCCGTTCTTGTGATACCATATAATGTTCACATTTTTGCATTTTTCGTAGTTTATATCATATTTAAACATAATTTGACCAAAACTATGTGCTCAATAACTATCCTGGTCATTTGTATTTGTAACTTAAAACATGATTAAACCCTAAAATATGTAGAAATCGGGTGCAGCCGAGTTCAGCCGCCGGTGCCGCCCGTTCTTGTGATACCATATAATAATCATATTTTTGCATTTTTCGCAGTTTATATCATATTTAAACATAATTTGACCAAAACTATGTGCTCAATAACTACCCTGGTCATTTGTATTTGTAACTTAAAACATAATTAAACCCTAAAATATGTACAAATCAGGTGCAGCCGAGTCCGGTCGCCGGTGCTGCCCGTTCTTGTGATACCATATAATGTTCACATTTTTGCACTTTTCTCGGTGTATATGATATTTAGACATAATTTAACCACATTTTAGTGACAGGTGGTCAAATAGATGAACAATAATTATTTTAACTATCATTAAATAAATTAAAATATTCAATTAGTTAATGCTCTCAAAAATTTATTTAAAATATTCCCAAAAAGACAAAATTATATAGATCTATATAAGATATATTACAAATCAATCTATTCACGATATTATATATTTAATGTTTTAATATTTATTTACTTAAACCAATTCCGGAAAATCCAATTCAGCAATTAACTGAATTGGATCTGGTGTTTTATCCAAAATGACGTCCAACTCATCCATTTTTGAACTAACGTGTTCGCTGTCAGTCTCATCGATGCCACTGTCAATCATCGCTGATTTCAGTGGATCATTTCCCGTTGAGCCCAAACACCGTGTCCCACGCCGAGTTTCTGAAAGTTCCGCTTCAACCAACATAACGGCTGGATATTTTTCAATAACCAGTTGTGCTACTCTATCTCCTCTTTTTATGGTTACCGGGTTTTGACTCAAATTTATCATTACGATAAAAACGTTGCCTCTATAACCAGGATCAATTAATCCTATTAAATGTAACAATATTAATTTTATAATTTATTTTAAAATATATACATTTACCTGCTAATATGCAGATTGAAGCCCGATAAGCCATTCCACTTCGCCCGAAAATTTTGCCGCATAGTCCTTGTGGTATTTCGATTGCTATATCAGTTTCGACTTTAGTGGTACTAAATGGCTTTAATATGTATTCATTGTTCGAACACAAATCAATGCCAGCACATTCAGGTAAACTTAAAAGAGCGTTTGCATTATCGGTCAATTTACTGTATTTGATTAGATGCCAGCTTAACCCTATTTTTAAAATCACAATTATTATAAATTTTAGTCAAAAAAATAATTTTATTAACTTACCAAAAGGCGCGACATTAAAGTAACGTTGAAAATCAACGAGATATTCAAATTTCAAGTAACCATATAATGACTTTCGAGTTATTTGGCTATTTTTCATTGATTTTCCAATAACAAATGAAATTTCGTGCTCCAATCCATCATCGAGGCGAGTGAACCCTTTTTCAGTACTTTCATCTCTCAAATATTTACGGTTTATTTCATTGTGAATTGTCTTAATCAAACACTCAACCCCTTTGGGCACAATTATTTTGAAATTCATTGAAATAACTTTATCGCCTCTATGTAAGTCATCGCCATTACTAGGACAAAATAGCGCATATACATAATTATTTGTACTCTGTACAACTAATTGCGGCATATAAAAGTTCGGCCGCAACTGTTTATACGGTATAGTAATCTGATTCATAATTAAGTAATTATGAACCAAATCATGAAATAAATATAATAAATACACCCGTATTTATATATAAATTTCGCTTACGGTTTAATTTTAGTATAGTATTTAATCAATTAAATTTTTAGCTGAATTGATTAAATATTATAATTAAATCAATTATAAAATTTTGTATTGTGCAAAAAAATTATTGATTACTTAACATAAAAAGTTTAGTATAAGCAATTTTTTATTTTCTGTAAAAATTATAATATCAAGAAATTATTTGACCAAAACTATGTGCTCAATAACTACCCTGGTCATTTGTAATCGTAACTTAAAACATGATTAAACCCTAAAATATGTACAAATCGGGTGCAGCCGAGTTCGGCCGCCGGTGCCGCCCGTTCTTGTGATACCATATAATAATCATATTTTTGCATTTTTCGCAGTTTATATCATATTTAAACATAATTTGACCAAAACTATGTGCTCAATAACTACC